TCTTTGCATAGTCCTTTGCTATGAAGGATTTGGGTCTGCAAAGCAAATACTTGCATGAAGATTACTCGGTGAACGAAGAATTGCAAGATTTGGACTTCACAGAAGAGGTACATTGAGACAGTCTTGAAAGAATTACATTGTGACAAGGCGAAATCAGTGAGTATCATTGCAAATACTTCAACCTTAGTTCGAAAGCAGTGTCCTAAACGTGGAGAAAGACAAGAATGAAATGAAGAAAGTTCGTTGCATTGGCGTTGTTAAGTTTGATGTATGCGATAGTGGTGCATCAGGTTGGATATGCTTGTGTGGTGGCATTGTAGTGATTTTCTTTCAAGTCGTGGAAACGATATTGGAGGCGCGCAGGAATATGGATTCCTTAGGTTAGAGCACTTCGAAGATGTGTTTATGTTTTGGAGATGAAAATCTCTACTAGAAGGCTTCACAGAGATGTAGACATGCTGGAAGATATTGATGTAGAAGTCCACATCAGGGTTACCTGATGACTTTATTTCTTGGTATCAAATTTGCAAAAAATGTGTTTGTTTTTGTCTACCAATAGAACGGAATTACATCGCGTAGCAAAGGGATGCAAGGTAGAAATGTTGATGGATCAGATAAAGACTTCTAAATGAATTGGAAGTTAAAGCAAAAGAAAGATTTTTTTATGTGACAACTCAGAGGTGGCTATCCCTTGGAGCGAAGAGATCCGACTTCACTCAAAGGTCGAAACACATTGATGTGAGGTATCATTGGATACGCGATATCTTCGAAAAAAATTTTCTTCAACTTGTGAAGTTACACTGATGAGAATGGGTCGGATATATGACTAAATCATTGTCCAACGAGAACATGATTTTATGTAGAATAAGGCAGGTTAGTTATGCCCCACCTAAGCCGGGAGGGGGACATTTGTTGGGTTGGGTTCCCTTCTTAATTGGGTGGCAAACAAAGAGCTAGTCAGAGTCATATTATTATTATATATGTTTTTGCTGTAAAGCTTCTAAGAGAAGCTTTGGTTTTGGTTACCTGCAAAGTCAAACAAGAAAAGGAGTCAAAGAGTTGACTGTTTGTCTCTTAAGTTTTGTACAACAGCAACAAACAAGAGTATCGAGAGAGAAGAGGAGAAAAAAAGTGTAAAAGAGTAGGGTTTTTTCTATAGTCAAGTACCCAAATTGGATGGCCGTTTCTTGGCGCCAATCTTTGATGAAATGTTCAGCATGTTGGCTATCATGAATCATTCTACATTTGATTGGAGTTATCTTATCAAAGCTTCTCTTGGACTGGTCAGTCTGGGATATTCCACTTTGGTGAGACCTAAACTTTTATCTCTTGTTGATTTTGTTGAAACCACCTTTTGGAGATGATATATTGTTGATTAGTGCCAAGAATATTCTCTAATGATTGTTATGCGCTCTTAGTTATGGCTAGAGAATGATATCTTGTAATCTCCCATTATTTTATAGTGTGATCATTTTTGATTCGGAGTTTGACCCGTGGATGTAGGATTTTGCTGACAGACCACGTAAATTTGGTGTTTTGTGATTGTTTTGTGCTTTAATTCAGCCATATTAATTGCCTTGTAATTTGTTGGTTGTGTTGCCCATTTTTCTAATTACACCAGGGAGGGAATAAGATATAGGCGGGGTTTGTATTTTTTTCTAACATAAGTCACTAACAGACCACTCTACCTCCAGATAACACGTGCACTAAATTACAACCTTGGCCGCATTAGTTGAAAATATTTTTCATGGAACCAAAAGCAAAAGCCTTATCTGAACTTCAATAGACTCATAATTTCAAGCATGAAAAAGGTGAAAAAGTAAAAACATTAAGAAAAATGTGAACGGAACATACGTTGAACTTCTCCAACCTCTCTTTGTTGTGGAAATGTCTACCATCAAAAGACACTATTATGGACGTCCGTTTTGTTATCTACTCCTTGAAGAAAGATATTTGTTCTGTGCTAAGTCATTTCGGATTCTGTAAGCGGGATATGGATCCTTTGGCATCAAATGTTTTCTCCATTTCAAGTTCTTAAGGAAATTGCTAAGAAGCCTTTTGTATGTCTACATTACCGAGCCCAGAGAAACTTTTGGATACATCAACATGATGCTTCAATCCTGCAAATCCTGATTTTAAACCCCCTAAAAAAATAAAAAAATAAAAAATCAGTGATCTGAAGTTCGCATGGTATAGGTTATCACAATGCAGGTAATGCTTAGTATGCCCTCACTACTTATATGTTTGTTTAATCATCATTATTTTCAATGTTTCAATCTTTAAATTTAGTTAGTTCGTATTAATAGCAGCTGTATTATAGACAAAACCATTATTAAAGCAATGCTAGCTAGCATGCTTGGAAAGAACATGTACCAACTGTTGTAGAGGAAGTAAGATATTGTTTGAGCAAAGAGTCATCTTATTCCTTTTCCTTTGTGTCTACTAAGTTATAACATAAACTCTAACGAACTATGCTCAGTTCATTTCGGCAAACAAAATATTTTTTGATGTTGAAAACTAATGTATTAATAGTTATTATTGTGAGTGGTGGGTAGCATTGATATGGTAGTGAAGGAGCGAAGAGGATGGTAGAGGTTGAGCAGTGGTCAGGTATGTGTAGTGTTATGGGTAGCTGTGGTGGTGAGTGGTGGAGGTGATGACGCGGTGGTCGTGATTGGCACTGAGGTGCAGTGAGGATGGTTACAGTGGCTGTAGTAGTGTGATGATGTTAAGCTTTATGTCATAGATTAGAAATATGGTGTTTGTAAGTTTTATCTTGTTCCCTCCATTTAAACTTGGTCAGATAACATGGTCAAGATTATAATAAAATTGTGTCATGTATTTTAAGATGCTTTTGAATCATCTGGTTCATTTGTATGATCGATTTTTAAGTTGAAATATATTCTGATAGGCCAGTTAAATTTTGTGGTGTTTATTTCTTTGATCACTTTTGTTTTTTGTTGTTTGTCTTACATGACTATTGGAAATGGTATGAAGTGTGAGCTATACTTGCATGTTGGATGATCATTTCCTTGTGTGATTCACTATTCTAACAATTTCTGGTATCTATGTCTAGCACTAGTTAATATGCTTGCCTGTTCTGTTTAGGTAATACTAGCAACTAATATTGTTGAAACATCCGTAACAATACCTGGAATCAAGTATGTGATAGATCCTGGATTGCTGAAAGCACCCACCTACTGTGCTCGTACAGGGATGGAATCATTGATTTTTGTTCCAACCTCAAAATTTGCAAAGGAGGTAGGCATACTGTATTACTAAAGCACAGAAAAATCCATGTTATATTTTAGTGATTTCATTTATTTTGAGTAAATTTCTTATTTATCATGTCCTTAAAAAAGAGATCTACTAACCATGTTCTGAGCTATCTTTTTCATGGAGTGGGTGGGTGGGGGAGAGCACCCATAGGTTTACAAACTTCATCATATAAACAGGCCAAATGATGTGGATTTTGTTGTATTTACCCAATATTCCTTCTGTATATTTGTTTGCATTTTTCATTGACTGAATATAAACGAATTTTAATCTCATGCCTGCTACTTTATTTCAGTGGACGTGCAGGCCGTGAAGGACCAGGCAAGTGCTTCCGCCTCTACCCTGAGATTGAATTTGAGAAACTCAGGGATTCTACAATTCCAGAGATTACACGGTGCAACCTTTCAAATGTCATTTTGCAACTAAAGGCTCTTGGTGTTGATGATATTTTTGGGTTTGATTTCATGGAAAAACCATCAAGGTGGAAAAAAAAGAATTAAGTCTTGTATTGGTTTAGGATTTTACTCATTGCTTCACCCATGTTTATTTGTGCATGCATTTTTGATGAGTTATTTTATGCCAACTTTACTCAGCCCACTATATTGTATGAACAAATTTAAATTGAAAACATAGAAAGGTTTCTGGGTTTGTAGTGAAGCAGGGAAAGACAAAATGAAAGGGTGTATTTCATGGAGTCGATACCTTTGACCATTAGCAACTAGGTTATGAGTGATTTCCATAAGTGATTGGTAACTAAGCAAGGAAAGCCAAAGGAGGTGGTGTTAAATCAGAAAGAAAAGAACAGAAGATTTGTATAATCATGATTTCTTTCATAATCTATTTTTTATTGTCCTCTTCTATTGTCTGCTTTCTCAAGGAGCCTGCACTATCTACCATAAAATTTTGTTTTTTGACATTTACCGAATGCTCATTTCTATTTTTATGGAAGTGCTGTATAATTAGTGGAAGGAATTTATCACCGTCAGTTTTACAATTTGAACAGGGATGCTGTCATCAAATCATTGGAGATACTGGTCTTGTTAGATGCTATAACAGAAGAATATAAATTGTCGGACCCAGTTGGGCATCAAATGGCCTGGCTTCCCTTAAAGCCTATTCATTCTAAAGCACTTATCCTGGCTAGTCAGTTCAATTGCCTGGAAGAAATGTTAATAACTGTTGCAATGCTCTCAGTGGAATCTATCTTTTATGCTCCTCGTGAGAAGTTAGAGGAGGTATGCATTCATGACTTATTTGTAATGCATTTATGTAGCTAGTGTTCATGAAGTTGCTTGGGTCATTTAATAAAGTGATCGTAAGTTCTTTTATTTGCCTTAGCAACTGGAATTGATTAACTATATTATAAATAGAACCAGGGGCTTTTTTATTTTCAATCAGTGAGATGATTCAGTATTGGGAAATAAAAACTAAATCAAATTATGATGGATGCTTTGAATAGTTGAACACAAGATGAGTTTGTCATTGTAGACCAATTACGTGAAAGTTGTCATTGTTAAGTCTTTTTGCTGCTTGTTTCTCCTCATCTATTATTCATCATGATGAGGTTTTGTGGGTTTGTCACCTAGCTAATTTAATTGATGTGATTCCATTCTTTTTTTTTTAATTTTGTGTGTGTGTGTGTGGGAGAGAGAGAGAGAGAGGGAGGGGGGGTAAAGATAGAGATAGAGATAGAGATAGAAAGAGTGCATTCAATTTGGAAATTGAGTATTCGCTAGATATTTTTCCCTTTCTGGTCAGGCACAAACTGCAACAAAGTGCTTCTCAAGTCTAGAGGGAGACCATCTAATTTTGATTAACATATATCGGGCTTTTGATGAGTTCTTGGAGAAGAGCAAGATAGGGATCAATAAAGAAAAAGCTGAAAAAAGTCTCAGAAAATGGTGCAAGGAAAATTTCATCAATAACCGCTTCCTAAGACATGCTCGTGAAATTCACAGGCAAGCTACATTCTCCTCCTTGCTTTTAAAAGCAAAATACTATGAAACTTGATCTCTTATTTGTCTAATCTGTATAGTTCTTATTAATTTATTGTTTGCTGCCCTTTTTGTTAAAAAGAGCTTTGCGAGTATGTAGACCTGTCCAACCATCTAAATGTTTTTCACCTGTTGTTTGAATTCTTAATTTAATCGTTGTGCTTTGGTGCAGGCAAATTCAGAGAAATGTTGAACAAATGGGTCTGCACATAACTTCTTGTGAAGAAGAGATGCTTCAATATCGTCGTTGCCTTGCTGCTGCTTGTTTCATCAATGCAGCTTTAAAGCAGCCTGATGGTACATACAGGTATCAAGTACACTATTATGAGTTTTAATTTTCGTACGGAGGGTTCTTCTTGGTTTCACAGTCCACCCCTATATTTACTTTACTTGAAATTTTCTTATTATTGTATTTACCATCACCTACCACCACTACCACCTCACCTACTCCACTAAACCTAACCCACTACACCACTACCACCTCACCTACTCCACTAAACCTAACCCACTACACCACTATCACCATCCACTACACACCACCACTACACCTACATCTATATAAGGAACCATTTGTAATAGACAAAATATCAATCAATATATAAATCAATAATACATGAATTTTAACATGGTATCAGAGCAAGGTTAACAACCTAGTCATTCTGCTTCACCGGCGGGCAGCAGCCTCGCCTTGGCCGCCCGCCGGACCTCTACACATACCTTCCATCCGCTGCCACGAATCCCATAACTGAATCATCGGAATAGTCGCCGTCGTCCACGGCTTCACCGGCGAGTCGAGCTGGCTCATTCAGCTCACCTCCGTCCTCTTCGCCAAGTCCGGCTTCGCCACTTGCGCCATCTTCTTCTTCCATGCACACAGCATGTTTGCCTGCCCTTTGTTGATGAGGTCAAGGATGCAAGGACACCCAATACACAAGAAAATGGAAGAGATATGGCAACCGCGCTGGCACCCATTTTTTCCAACCAGAAGCTGCTCAAGAAAACAAAAGTAGGCAAGCATGCTGACAATGACGAGAACAGGCACTTCCTGCCAAACCCTGTATCCATTAATTTCCATCTGCGGGGTTCTATTTACTCCAGTACTTGGATTTCGAACACTTCGAATCCGTAAAAGTGTGACTGGTAAGTTTTGAACCTCTTGCCTGCACACATCACAGATCTTGTTACCTTTGATGCTACACCATTTCACAGCACATTCTTGGTGAGCCAATGCAAGTTCGCCTTTACAACTGCACTCCATCTTGAGGGTCTCACCACCTTCACATAACTCGACCAAACAAATTCTACAAACAGCCTCTTCTTCAGGTATATCCTCAGGATCTGCTTCATTGTTTTCTGCACACGATCTTAGCATTAGAATTGACAGTCATCTCATTTCAAGCACAAACAGAGAAATTCTATATATATGCGTGCGCACACAACGGCATCTAAAAAAATTCAAATAACTAATTCTCCACTTGATTGGACTACAACAAATGTTTGCGGTTGGAATGACAGTGACTGAGGTTTCTGGAATTTTTTCATTTTCCTCCATACTCTCAGCAATTATGCAGAAGAACAACTTGTTTAAAATATTCTAATTTTGAAAAGACATAAGAACACACTAGAAAAGATTAAAGCATATGAAAAACTATAATATTAATCAACAAATTAATGTCCGAATTATCCTTCAATGTTCAAACATGACTACTGTAGATACTAAAGACAACAGAGTTACCGGCATCTCCTGTTGGACTTGTATTTGACACAGTTGTATCTCCTTCCTTCACTCGAGGATTTGGAATTATGCGGAAAAATGAATCCATTCTCTTAATTCTTCTCTCTTTGTTGACTACAGGGACTGAAAGTGAGCGAGATATTGAACGCTGGGCTCCTTTTGTCTACAAATAAGACCACAACAGATGCTAAGATATTTGTATGATATGAACCTCATGTGGAGATTCAAAAGCTACTCAGAGAGACTGGAAAATGAATTGATAATCCGAGAAATTGTCCTAAAGAAAGTCTAAATCTATTTAAATTAAATATAGATGAACTACAGGTTCTATTGGGTATTCTCAACTTCGTGTCATCCTCAAAATGTCATACAAGCTTATCAAGATAAGCTAACATAAAGCTCTTACAATGCTTGATTCCTATGTATTTAAGAACTGCAAGCACAATATTCATGTAACAAATCATATACTGGATACATACAATACTCTAGACAGTTTAAGTTAACTGTCCTAGTTAGCAATATGTGGACACATGGACTGAGTTGCGCCCAATGGCACCTTGACACGTGGCTTAGTTGACATTCAATAACATCCCGACACGTGGATATTGTTATACTCAATAAGAGTGTGATACATGGACTGATCTCACCTTTACATCTATCACCCACGCCTGGATAACAAACCACTTGGATTGAACACAATCAAATGATTATTTTTTCTCTACCTCATGCAAAATTGAATCTGCAAAATTTGTAAAAAACTTACATCTGCAATAACTAAACCACCAAGATTTCCTCCACAAACAGATTCTGCATTTGAATGTCCAATTGGGGTAACTGGTAGAGATGATGTTCTCTTGATACGAGGAGTAAACATTTTTGTAAGTGACCATGATCTTGAAATAGAAGGCTTCTCTTGCTGCATTGGAGACACAGCTTCTACAGCTAGATTGGCAGCCGTCTCTGCATCTGACTGAGAACTCCGGTGCTTGAAGCTCAGTTTTGGTAGGAGGTTTTTTATGGATGACTTACTTCTGCATGAGGAGAGGCCTGGGGACCCACTTATTCTAGCATCAGAAGGGCTTGGCGTGAGGAAGAAATTTACCTTCTTAGTAGCGGGAGTTGGTGTTGGAGGCATCTTGATTTGAACAACCCCCTGAGGAGAGTCCACTATTGTTTTTGAGGGTATGTCCAGGGATAGGTTTTGTCTCCTCAAATGCTTAAAATGTGGTGTTTCTTCAGTTATTGCAAAGGAATCTTCTTCTACCTGAAAGAGGACCAGAAAACATCATTGAATTGTGCAAACCATCCACTACACACCATCCACTACACCTACATCTATATAAGGAACCATTTGTAATAGACAAAATATCAATCAATATATAAATCAATAATACATGAATTTTAACATATTGTATCTTCTCTTGGTTATTTATCTAGTAATTCTTTCCATTTTCCCCTTTTTAATACCTCTCATGGTTACTTTACAAAATGGCAGTGTTTTATCAAGCAACCAGGTAGTGTAGATCCACCCTTCCTCTGTGTTATTCCGGACAAAGCCAGAGTGCATAATTTTTGATGAGCTAGTCTGAATTAATCAGAATTACATGCACAATGTTACTAGAATTGATTACTTGTGGTTACCTGAGCTAGCTCCTCAATACTATGCCTTTCCGGCATAGAATTCATGGTGCTCATATTTAAGGGCAAGAACTACTTTTCATGTTTCATTTCGTCGTGCTTAGGTTATTGCTTTGACACAAGTTCAATTTTCAGACTTGTGTGCTGTGATGAAGACAATCATATGCTTGTTATTAGTTTCCACAAGCATTATTAACTATATGGGAGCAACGGAATTTTTCTCATCTTCCCACTCTTTTGCTTGAAATTTTTCTATCGAAATGTACTTATGCATAGCATAGCAGCAAGAAAAAAACATTTTGAGGATTAGATATTTCTATGCATAAAGTGATTATTGAATGTCTGGACTTGTTGACATGTAATTTTGATCCATATAGTGGCCAACTTGTGAATTTTTTGAGAAACTTCTCAATCTTTTTGCCTATGTGGAATTTTTTATTTTCACACACTGCTTTTTTCTATTCATATTATTTATTAAAAAAAAACTATGACCATAACACCCAAATAATAGATTGTTTAAGTTTGATTTATTTATTTTAACAAAGTTAATGAATTTAATTTATTAACCTTTGAAATTAATTGTAAATCAACTGTATTCAAGTTGAGTTTGAATAATAACTTGTTTAAATTTAATTTTAAAAGTTAACAAAATTTTAAAATATATTCATGATTTAATTAGGTAAACAAGTTAAACAAAGTAAAATATACAATCATATTTATATCATAAGAAATAATGACAATTGTTGACAAGGCATGTAACATTTGAAGTCATCCATATATGTCCCACTTTTTTTTTTGAACCAACAACATCTCTATTACACTTTGGTCCACCGATTTTCATGATATAATAAATTTCTATTTCCCCTCTCCATTTTCTTCCTCCAATATATATCTCCACTAATCCCTTAACTTTGTTCTAATTTGATTAAAAAATTTCACATGTATGAAAAAGAAAAAAAAAAATCATGTTTGACAAATTGATAACTCAAAATTAGCTTACTATACATTTTTAGGATTTGATTATAATTAATTCAATCATTACCTAAACAATTACAAATAATTTTAATTGACTGAAAACAAAGTGTGTTTGGTATCGTTTTTATTTTTGATTTTTATTTTTAGAAAAAAAGAAAAAACAAAAAGAAATTGATACAAAAACTTATTTTACAAATTGACTTCAATTTTTTCTCTCCCCTAAAAACACTCATTTTTTAGGAATAACTTTAAATTGTGGGGTTATGAATTTCTATTATGGAACTTTTTGTAGTGTTGTTTATTTTTTTTTGAGTAATACTAAACATACTATATTTTGCCTACTTTACCATCTTACGTCGCATTATTAAATTATTTTAATAAATTTCACTAATTAATATATTAATAACACATCATATGATAAATTAAATATGATAAAAAAAAATATGTTTCATGTCATGAGGCTCTTGTTAGATAGATTGTTGAATTTTTATATTTATTGAATTATAATTGTCTTAAGTATAATTTTTGTAAATAGAAAAAATTATTTGTCATCGAATTTATTTCAGTATGTTAAAAAAAATTAAAAAAATTTGATGTATTAAAATAAATAGAAAAGTTGGGACATGAAATAGCAAAAGCCAGCGTGGCTGTGTGGCAATAGTGTATTTGTAACAAATAGAAAACGATTCAGCTCTCTGTCTGTCTGTCTCTCTCTCTCTCTCTCTCTCATAAGCTCTCACTCTCTCTGTTCTTCACCAGATCTGATCCGAGAGAGGAAAGGTATCGAAATCATAACCCTAGATCTCTTGTTTCACACTCAATTTCATGTGTATTTGACCACTCACCTCTCATATTTACGATTTCAATGTTGATATCTCTGTATTAACTATGCTTTTTACTGTTTCTGATTTGATAGCATGCTTAATGGTTACTTCAATGCAATTTGGATCTGTTGTAGCTTTTCACTACTAAAATTGTAGTTACAGAGAGCTTACGATTTTGTGAGCAATTGAGCTGAAAATAGTGTCTATGTTACTCGAGTCTATCTATGTGTATATATGTGTGTGTCTAAATGTATTATGTAATTTGTGTCTACAATTCTTAAGGTCTGTGGAAATTCCCTAAGCCTTGTAGACAATTTCTCTTTATACCTGAATTTTCACATGCTTTTTGGTCAAAATGGGATGTAGTCTAATTGAGTATATGTGAAAAATCCCTTTTTCTTAAATAGTTGACTTATACATTATTCAATTAGGCAATTCATCAAACAATTGATGATCATTTCAACCAATCTTCACACTAATCAATGAATTGACCAATTCATGATTAGATTTCTATTAATTATCAAGCAGTTAATAGGCTCTAAGCAATCAAATGATACAAAAGGTTTATTGAAATGAAAAACCATAGTCCAAAGGGCTACAAGTCAATCCACTATGTAGATGAACGATTACAAGAAAAGTCTTACAATCAAATGGTGAATCTTCTCACCCAGTGGACTGAAGTCTCTTTAGCCAGTTCATCGCTCTCCTTGAGAGTGATCTAAACACTGGCAAATCCCCAACGATCAAGCCACCTCTTGAATCCACCAAATGTCTTCTACCTTGGATGTGATATCTTCTTCAAAGATTGGTTAATTCTCTCACTAGATTAGTTCTAAGGAGTTTGATCTGAGCCTAATCGATCCGAGCTTGTGTAACTAACTGAACTGACTGATACCGCTTTGTCTCATCACTCTGCTCAAGTGATGAATTTAAACATCCGGTACTTTTGAGACAGACTCTTAGATCTACTAAGGTGCGAATCACTGTTAGACCATCGTTTGAGCAGTGGCCACTACTTCACTATGCTTTCATAATTTGCCTTGTGTCAGCTCTTCATCCCAGCTTAATCCGTTTGGAAAGGATTCGTATACAGAAACGAGTACAATTTCATTTAATGGAAAGATTACGTGTTTGTCAAACGGGAACTAAGTCCTAACAATATGTCTATATATGTTCTTTTCTTTCTTATTACATTGTGGTTCGTTGTTCTCAAAATACTTTGTCATTTGCCAAGAAAAATTAATCTTGAAAGAGCTTTTGGACATTGAAGTAGTTGATTCGTTAAGAGAAAGAAAAACTATCAACATGTTTTGACTGCTCACACTTTCCTATAAGATCCTCAATGACTAATCCCAAGGGAACCTTTTCAACATTTATCGTTTCTCTATTTCTCTTCCATCTGCTTCACTTATGTTGAATACTAATCGTATGCTTGCATCATTAGCTTTACACTGTGGGCAGGGCTGAGTCTCTTGTCTAGGAATTTGTTGATATGGGTCGTGGAGTCAGCTATGGCGGCGGATAGAGTTCACGTGGCTACTTATTTGGGAGTGGTGAGGCTCCAAAGCCAGCCACAAACAATCCAAAACCTGCTTCAAGTGAAGGACAGGATGTAAATAATGGTCCTCCCCCCAAGACTACTGCTGCTTCTCAACAAGTAGATGTTACTAAGCAGATTCCTACCGGTATAAATAGCAGCACTGCAAATAAATACTTCAGGGCAGATGGTCAGAACGGTGGCAATTTCATTACAGTATGTCTCTAACCATAATAATTTTAGTCATCTTTATAATGGTAAATTTTCTAGCTGAGTAACATTTACGTCAGTTGTGTCTCAGGTGCACAACTACAGGGTGCTTAGGGTCATGACATGATATTTTGGATGAAGTAATTGACTTGCAAAACAAAAGAAACAGAAAAAAGACACATCCTCGTAATTAGTACCAAAAAATAGGCTTATGGGTCATCCATTCAGAGCTGGAAGGATTAGATTAGGTTGATAAATTTTGCAAACATCATTGAACTATGGGAATAAAAGTCTTAGGCTTGCAACTCCAGTTTTGTTATGCTTATTTGTAGTTTTTGTTTTGTATTTCTTGTGTTAACAAGCTTGATGAGATGTCTATGAAATTCACTTCTTACTTGGGAATGAACTCATAGTGTATGGCTAACTAGGAGACTCATGCATATATCATTTCAGCAAGGTGCATTTCAATTTATAACCCTATTCATATTAGAGGGCCAAGAATAGAGGCTTCAAAATCTACTAGGTTGGACGTTGGAGTTTCTATGAGTGCTACAACATTTGAGTGTTGCGTTTATTAAATTGTAGATCTAGGGATAGGCAAAAAAGAAAGGGCCATCAGTAACTGGGAAATTAGGGTTACATAATCATCTTTAAAAAATGTCTTTCCTTGTTAGATTGTTTCCAAATAAATGTCTACTTTGAGGCATGGAAATCACTTGGATGTTTAATAATTCAACATGAAGTGTTAGGTTGGTTTGGAGCCCATGCATGAAGCATATTGTAGTTTGTATCAAAAAAAAAACAAAAACAAAAACAAAAAGTTTGGAGACCATGCATGAAGCATATTGTAGTGATGAGTAATTATGAACTCCCATTTTATGCTAAACAAGTGCCTTTTAGCTGACAGATTGTTCATTCTCTATAAGCTCAAAGGTTGAGTTTGCCGGTGTCTTCTTCAGTCCGCCGAAGTTCCTATTTTTAGGATTATAGGTTGCATTCAAAGACTATTTTTAAACGTTCAGAAGGCCTACCATGGCTAGAAGTCCTGCTTAACGATATAGGACAACGTTTAGTTCAAATAGCTACCAGTGCCAAAACACCGTGTGTGCCTCGTCATTTGATCTTACATGCTGGACTTTATCTTCTTCACTATGTATAGTTTTTTATTTCTTTATAAGTTTTGTGGTTACAGCTTTTGATGGGAAAAATGATTCCATGGACTACAAATTATCATATTAATTTCAGCTATTATCACAACAGAGAAGAAACTACTCAGATCCACCTTAACACATAATGATTTTCAAGTTCCTTATTGTTTTCTTCTGCTGTATTAAAGAATCGATATCTCACTATGACTTTCTTCCCGTGTTTCACAGGATCGGCCCTCAACTAAGATCCATTCTGCCCCTGGTGGTGGATCTTCTCTTGGTTACCTCTTTGGCGACGGCGGCGGCGGCAACTGATATATATGCCATCATACCGTTGTAATGCAAGTGTTGTCAATCAATTTGTGTCCAAAGTGTTGTTTGGGAGGTTTTTTTTTAGCTTTTATGTACAGTGAGAACTTTGCTTGATCATGTACAATGTAATATAGAGGTGGGATGGTGGTTGCTGCAAAAATCTCTGTTATGAAGCTCAGTGACTATTAAGAACAAGGTTACAGTCGTTGACGCACTCATGTGTTTATCGACTGTCTATTAATTGACTCGGGACGTTGTTGCCGATTATAAATATTTGTTTACTCTTCCCCCTTTTAATTCTTATACCATGGTTGTAATTTTTCTCATCAGAATGGTGAAGATTTGGATTGATTGGGTTTGCTTAGTTTATGTACTGGTGATTGAGTGGGTTTAACTCAATATATTCATATTGATGAGGATCTTTTCATTCAAAAAGTGTTGGAAAAAAGAACTAATATAGCAGCGCGAAAGTTGTGATTTTTTTAGCTAAACGTTTGTTAAGTTAAATTAAAGAAGAAGAAGAAATAAAAATACATTTGTACAAGGGATACCTACGCAAAACATCTGAAAAGATAAATATCATAACCACATCAAACACCCATAAAATCAACCATTATTGCCAAAAAACTAAACTAAGAACTGCAAAACAACTGCCATCATCAACTAATTTTGGTATTTGAAGATGGAACCCTCCCACAAACACAAGATAACAAGATGCATACTATCCAAAACACACACAATCAAAGACAACCAGAACAAATGTCTGCACTTGTTTGATAATAATAGTGTGAAGCACAAAACCCATCTAGCAACCAGTACACAATAGCTACCGCCCTTCCCAAGCCTCCCAAGCGTATGACCCAACGAGTTGATGAAATACAAATCCTGATGTCCACTTTGCGATATCTCTCATCCCATGACCATATTTCATTTGGGAGCTATTAACTAACCATGACCACATTTCATTTGGGAGCAGGAGCAGGAATTATACCCCATTGCTGCCGAACATCCTCCAAATCTTCATGAAAATGCTGCTCATAGTATACACACATTAGGTCTGTGCATCGCAATCCAGCACGGCAGGCCCAGGGGAAGTAATGCTGGTAGAACAGTGCCCTTTGCTTCTCATTAAATTTTGCCGTTCCTCCTACGACTGACAACAGGCACATGGGAAGCATCATTTGCTCAAACTCTATCACCTTGAGTGCTGACTCGCCAATCAAGTTGGTGGGAAGGCCAAAGAGGGTGTGCCAGAAGTCATGGACCTCGCGGGCTCGCATTGCAACGTATGCTAGCTCCTCTGTTTCCATGAACCGGACCAGTGGCCTATCGTCTGGGGAGAAGTGTCTAGAACCCATGAACCTTGCATAGGCGGCACCGAATGTGTTGGCCGGTAGGTCCCATACGTGCCCCACTTTTGAAGAGATGACACGAGGACGTTCCGACAGTACATCCTGAGAGAGAGAGAGAGAGATCATTTTCCATAGTGAGGTGAAATCAAACTTATAAAGCAATTCGTGGCAAACTTATATGCAAATACAAGAATTCAATAACAAAAAATCAACAATTTACTCGTCCTAAGATCAACTCCATTCACCCCACATGTTCTTACATGATCAAAGCCTGAGAACAGAAAGACAGAGAGACCAGAATTTTGCAGTAAATGTTTAGCCCCATCATTAAAAAATCAATTAAAGAAAGCTTTATTGCATAGGCACGAGGGGAAGGAAAAGAAGGGGAAAGATTTTCCAAATCTGTTAGCTTTCATCCTCACTATAAAATGAGGGGGAATTTAACCTAGGCAACATAATATATTAGTGCAGACGGATAGGAAAACACCTCTGTTAAAACAATACTGGTGGTTACAAGAGTAGATGAACCGTGGCCAAGAGGGAGGGCAATAGTCCTTTGAAAAACAGCAGTTATAACTAAGTCGTTCACAAACACAATGATAATATATAACACTTATAAATGCCAATATAATTAGAATCTCAACTTGTAATTAACAAATCCTTACTCTGCCTTCAGGACTTTTCTTCATCCTTTCTAGAACCCTTTCAAAAGCAGGCTTCCCAGTTGTCTCCCCCAAAGCAGCTATCAAATCTGCTCTTCGTGGGTCCACTAACGCTCCCACTGCCCTGAACAAGAGCCAACTGCACCAGCCCAGTTGCCACCCATAAGCTGAATGCCGGCCCCTTCTATCATTGCATCTAAAGCTGAATTATGGAAAAAAATAAAATCCAATCAAGCAAACCTACAATTCAAACTTTTAATAATGTTAAAACAATCTTTAAGAAAACAAAAACAAATTTGACAGTCTGAAAGTATATCGTATAATGCAAAGAAAAATATTCCTAGAAACAACGGACTGTGGATGACAATATGTAAACAATTGATCATGATGCCATTAACCGGACACAGAATAACAATGTCACTTTTTGCATTTTCACAAACAGTTTGGTGCAAAAGAGCTACTACAAGAAAACAACCAATATTCAATCAGAAAGAAAAGGCTGGGACACAAACAGAACACCAATTAGCAGACACCCAGATCATGACGGAAACTTCTGAGAAGCAAACAGGCCCTTAGTCTGTGTTTGGATCATGAATTTGGGTAAGGATTTGTGGAGGGAAAGAAAAGAAGAGAAAAATGTGAATAAAATAAAAAAAAATAAATAGCCTATTTCATTCACATTTCCTTCCTCTTTTCTTTTCCCTCCAGAAGAGGGAATGAATCACAAGGGAATATCGCCTTTTGTAGTACACATACAACAATTTTAAATACATTCACTGAACAATAAAATGCACAATCGTTTAGCCAAAAAACCAACTCACTTGGTCTTTGAGGACTTTTAACAAACAATTAGAATTCACAAATCTCTCAAAACCACAAAATCCATTCTTGAACAGACCCAAATTTAGAATTCACAAATCCCACAACCCCAAAATCCATTCTTGAACAAACCCAAAAAATGCACAAATCCATAAATCATTAAATAAAATAAAATAAAAAAAATTAACAATCATACAATTTGATCGGAAGGGAAGACAAAAAATTAGAGTGAAGAAGAAGAAGAAGATCTTTACAAACAAATCACCGGTGAGGATCTATGTGTGATTCGAGGGCCTCAGACAGGGGTTTTGCTGCGTTCCTCTCTTTGGTCTGCTTTGGGTCCTTGCTCTGTATGTTGTGGAAACATTTTGTTTGAAGAAATTACAACAATAAAAAATAAAAAATAAAAAATTACGAGTTAAATGTTGAATTTTGAGTATATTATTTATTTATTTATTTTTGTTGGGTAAAATTAATAAAAAAATAATGTTTTAATTATAATATTCACTTCGAGTGTATGAGAAATGTTTAAAATATTATTTTTTTTAAAATTTAATAATTAAAATGTTTATTTTTCTATATTTTTACTTAAAAATAAAAAAAAATTAAATTTAAAAAGACAAAATTAAAATTGAAATTTTAGTTTGTTATAATATTCAAACTTAATTATTATTATTATTATTATTATTTTAAATTCTCTCATGTTTTTAATCCAATATTGCGCCGTTCAAGATCATCCAATTTCTGCGGAAATTCTATTTAAACTTAAAATATATCTCAATACGCCTAATTTAAATTCATAAATTTTAATTCCTATTATATCCTAATATGAATTTACTAATAAGGATAATGTATATTAAACCCTAAAATATTTTTTTTTTCTCTCATGGTATACCTTAATCAGTTATTTTTATTTAAATCTCTGTGTCTTCTTTCCCAAGAGATCAAAGTTTTTTTTTTTTTTTCCTTCTTCTTCACCCTCCTCCAAAACTCCAATCCATCGTACCAAAACTCACTATCATTATTAACATCATTATTTTTTATTATTTTAAAACCCTAAACCTAGAAGAAAATTTGAACAAAATCAAATAATGAATGAGAATAATAATCAAAATAGTTTTTTGAAATAACCTATAAAAAAGAAGATAAGTATTCATATAAAGGGGTTTCACAATTTTTGTAGAGAACCATTATGTAATGACCCCGACATCCGATTAATGTTAATTCATGATTAATTATGCTTAATAGTAATTTAGGAATGATTTGGGATTTATTTGCACGTGTATTGCATTATTTATGTGTTTCTACCTGTTTGCGATAAAATGATCTGTTCATGTCTTTGACTTTAAATTGCGAATTGAAAGCCTTATCGGAGTCCAAATCAGAAATCGACCTGATTTATGTGCTAGTTAGGATTTATAGAATTTTATGGTAGATTTAATTAAAATTCGGTTCGAAGCGATTAAATTAGATTAAATAACGTTAAATTACATTAGTCCAATTATTTACGAAATTGTCCTTGAGTGGGCCACTACCTAAGACTATGTTGAAGCCTTATTACACTTGATCATACAACATTTCCTTAGCCACTTTGGAGACAAAACCGTGAGAGAGAGGGAGTGAAAAAGGAATTGAATTCATCTAGAGTTTTGGCTTGGAACTTAGGAGAATTGAAGAGATTTTGCATATTTGAGCTCCTAGACTTGGAATTCAAGGCTTAAGGCAGGAGATTTCCCTTTTAATTGTGCATTTAAGTTTAATTCTTGCATGGTTCATGGAAGATTAGAGTTTAAAGTAAAGTTTTGGTTTAGATTGTTGAATTGAAGCTTAAATAATGCATGCATGTGTATATCATGAAGTCTGAGGTTGTTTTCATAAAAATTCTTGGATGCATGTCCACATTTTTGTTATAGTCCATGAACTCACCATGTTTTGAAGTTAAATCTTGCATTTGATCTTGTTTTAGAACTTTGGAGTTTCAAAGAACCCATGCATGTGTTGAATTTGCATTGTTCTTCATGTTCTTGAAATTTATTTGAAAATTGTGTTTAATTGAACTACCTTTGAGCTTTGATTTCTCAAATTGATCTTTGAAACATGTCATACTATGAGTTTACAAGAGTTTTCCAGAAAATTAGCCTAAAAGGATCGAATTTGATGCATTGTAGTTGAGTTTTGAGCTTGAGATTCAAATCTGGAAATTTCAGATTTTGGACTCACGCTTGAGCGGAAAACTCCACGCTCGAGCGTACATACTGAGTTCATGCAGTACGCTCGAGCGGGAATTTCGTGTATCCAGTACTTTGTATGTGTTTACAGTCCGCTCGAGCGGGTATCGAGCGTCCATCGAGCGTGAATTTCATGTATCCAGTACTTTTACTGTAGCTTGCAGTCCGCTCGAGCGGAGTAATCCACGCTTGAGCGGATTCCTTTTATCTGCATGTCCGCTCGAGCGTAGAAGACCACGCTCGAGAGGGACCCCTGTTTCAGCAAAATTTTGAAAAGTGTTTTAAAGTGCATCTTTGCATCCTCATTCCATCCTAGGCATTCATAGGCCATGTTTAAGACTCTATAGTGAGGGTAAGAGATTAGAAGCACACTAAGAGCCAATAAAATAAGTTTTGTACAATTAGAACGTGTGTTTCACGTGCCACATACCATTTGACCAAGTTTACTCCGTCTGTCTGACTCAAGGCTCACTGTGAGTAATAACTCTATAAAGTTATGTTTAACCTAAGTATTCTCTGACTAGTATGGTATAATCTGTTTTCTGAAATGCTATCTTAGTAATGATGAATGAATGTCTAATTTTTTGAAAAGTATTTGTGGCACCCTTAGTTCACGTGGCCCTCGCCCGGGGGTAATAATACCGCGGCCAATCTGCATGTGGCCCTTGCCCGGGGGTAACAATACCGCGGCTAATCTGCACGCGGCCCTTGCTTGGGAGTAACAATACCATGGCTACTTGCGCACAAGTTATGGACCTTTGTGGTCATTGGTACCAACTATGTATGTGGGTCTCTGGACCAATCTGTTCTGATAGCTAATGGGTGTACCACGTATGATCTTATGCAAAATCTGAATATGAAAATGTATATGAATCTGTTTCTGTTTTGAAGTCTGATTATGCTTTGATTTAAATGATAGATTCTAACTTGTGTTGGACATCATTCATATAACCCCTTTACTCTGTTATTATTCACTGGGCTTTCACTCACAGTTTATATTATGTATGTAGGTGAGCCGGCACATGACCAGAGCCAGAGTTGACGGCCTTTTGTACTGTTTTGTAAGCTAACTGTTGTGTCTCCCGAGCAGGTTCCGATCGATGTCTAATGCCATGGCTGTTTTTGTATTTCATGCTAGTCTCTGTAACTGTTTGTAAAGTCAGATCTTGGGAAGTTCACTTCTGTAAATATTTTGTATCTGGACTGGCATGTTTATATATCTATAAGTAAGTTTTGAAATGTTCTGTCTTATGTACGTTATCACAGCTCATTGGACCTTGTCTATTTTGTATTATTGCTTCCGCAGCCCCTTAATATTTGCTAATTTGCTCAAAGACCTTTGGTAATCCACGGATTACTGGCTGGTTACGGTGCTAAACCTGCAGGGGCGGGTTTGGGTCGTGACACATTAATTATTTTTTATATCATTTTTTTGACAAAAATTAAAAGGTCCAGTAAATAGATTAACAATAACATAATATTGGAGTTGCTCTTATTTTATCATTTAAATAGTATATTACTAGTAGCAACTCGTGCTATGCACATGGATTTTATAAATTAAAAAAATATTATTATAATTATCTTGAATTAATTTAATATTTTGTGTTGTGGTATATATAAAATTTATAAGTTCACTTTTATGTCTATAACTTTTAAAATTATTAGTTTTAAAAAATTAAAAAATATATATATAAGTCTAATTAGTGCAATTTTGAAAATTTGTGTTAAAAAATAGTTAAATCTGATTAAATGAGATTAAAATAATTAAGACATACCTCTTATTGTTATGAAAATATACAAATTCAAAAGTTATAAAAGACAAATATATAATTTTATTATTAAATGTGAAGTGAAGTGATATTTAACAATAATTAACATGATATTTCTATTACTAATCCAATAATTTAAGTTACATTTCTTTTTATTTCAATTTCATAACTAAAAATATAATATGAATATAATACACACATGGATTTATAGTCTTTAAGAATAAGAAGGTTTTAAAATATTTTCAAACTTTCATCATTTTCTTTTAATTTTTTTTATCTAATTTGATTTTAAATTTGAATAAAATTTTGATTTTATATGAATTACTT